GCCGGTCCAGAGACGACAGAATTATTCCAAAACAAGAAATAAACCTTTAGGAGCTTCATATATGGCATGTGGAAGTTTACTGAAGTATAAAGACTTCCCCACACCAGAAATCGATGAGAAGTAAAACAATTCCTTGGCCTAAACGAGTAATACCGACGATTCGTAGAGAAACAAGTTCAAAGGGCCAGCCACTGTTGAGGCCTCCTGACTTCTCACCGGATGTCTACTGATACAGTAAGGGAGCTGTTGGTGCCATTTTAGCACAGATGTTGTATTTCAGTTGTCAGCTTCTCAGGAGCTGAGCTTCTATATATGGAAAAAGAAGCGCTCGCTGTAATTGAGGCTTTGAAGAAGTTTAAGCTTCCATTTTGGGGATTAGAAGTGGCTCTTCCATAAAGCTAAAGATGGCAATGCACGCATCACCAGGTGGGCCAATCCTTTGGCACTAAAATTCTATACCATCAAGGAAAGTTGAATGCTGCAACTGCAATAGTTAACTTTGAAACACCAGATGGAGTGGATCATGCAGAAATTGAAAAAGCAAAACAATGATCATCGGTGAGGCTCGAAACTACCACATATTAAAGGCCGTAGTAGCCAGTAATCATCTGGTAGCAAAACCAAGATTATTTCTAATCACCTGTAAGTACCTCCAGACGAAGAACCCCGTCACTAAAGAGCACTATTTCCTTGATTAAGGGCTCCTCTACGGGTCAGGACACCTAATCCGGTGCGAGATGTGAAAGTAATGCTGTGTGCCTAGAATGCTAGTTCCAAACACTTTAACACATGCACTTAGCATCATACTGCTGAAAAACGGATCCAATTTAAGGTAAGACAAAAATCTACCTGGCACGGAATGGATAGGTATATAGCTGAGTATTGTAGGAATTGCAGTACTTGTGCGAATTTTAAAGGGCACTGACCCTGACACCCTAAAGATATCCTATTCCTTTGGTTTCGATGGATGTTATGGGGCATCTCTTTCAGACCGAGAGAGGAAACCAGTATATCTTGGTGACAGTGGACTTGACACGATTTGCCATCGTCAGAGCAATAGCCAACAATGTTAAGACCATAGCTGAAGCTGCGAGATATTTGCAAACCTCGGTATTCCCCGGAGATGGCATTGACAGACCAGGGACGCAAATTTAGGAACGAGATCCTGAAAGATATAGCAAAACATTTGCAGTTTCACCATCTTGAAGATTACTCATACTACCCTGTGTCAAGGGATTATGTGAATGACCAATCCCAATATTCTACGTAGGATGGTGTTCGGTAAAGATACAGAACTGGGATCTTTATCTAAAGGACACCCAAATGGCTCTGGACTCTGCCTACCACAAAACTATTGGCGACACACCATACAGTGCTATGTACAACCGGGACCTAAAAAATACTACAGACTTTCGTTGGACAAAGTCCACCGAGTGAATATTGATAACAGCACAAACTCAGTGGTCCAAGGACGGTGGAATGCCTGGGACAAGGGTTTTCATCAAGGCCGTGAAGAAGGGTCCTTCCCACTGAGAAAGACCCTTAGAGCAAATACATGACCATGTCTACAAGATTATGACTAGAATGACATCCATATTTTTATCTTGCACAAGTTCAGTTGTGTGTTGATTTAGAATATTGATGATGGAAAAGTCTAAGTAAAAAATACTTACAAATGAACTACATCTCCCTAGCCTGACATCCACTAACTTCGGTAGGAAGACGAAATGGAATCTACAGCTAACTTCAACAACCTGTAGATAATTTTAATCTTAAAGTTCTTACCGCTTATTGCGCTATTTTCTTCTAATATGTCCTTAGAAGCAACACTGATTCACCTTCATACAATGAGCCATGATGATCTAACTCCAAGGAGGGCAAACCTGGGGATACCAGGTCACCTAGAGAGAGGGCTGATTGTACTCTTGTACAGTTTCAGAAGACAACTTGATATTTGGTTCCTTATCTCGAGTTAAAGTAACCACCAAGATCGTCGACAAGTACAGACACAACTACAACCACAGCCTCACTACCACCAAACTATTTTGTGTTTTTATTCTAAAAGATTTTTTTACCGCCATAAGTAATTACGGGTTACATTTTATCAACTAATACATTAAATATTTCCTTACCTATAGTGTCACAGCTTCTAGTTGATAACTTTCTACAAAATCGTCACATATGTTCCGGATGGAAAGAACCCAGACCCAGTAACAATGCTAACCACATCTTACCTTAAGCATTTACTCCACATGGGCCAGACTGTGGGTCACTGGGATCGTCGGGGTCTTCCAGGTGGTTGTTAGCAGGAACTGCGATCGCTATCTGCCGTTCCTTACCGGACAGCAGAGTGGTTCAGCACTTACAGGGAAGCCAGTTTCTTCTTTTTTACGTGTCGGTAAATTTGGAAATGCAAAGCCACACATTTTGGGATGAATAGAATAAGAATAATTTTCCAATAGCTTTCGTCGTGTTTCGAACAAATCTAGCACTCTTTTCCATCTCAAACGAAGCATAACTACGATACGGTACCAATAGCTGGGGAGGGCATGATAGGCCTACACTTTAGGGAATTTCGAGAAATATCACTAGAATACTACCATAGTATATTAACACATTTCCGGATTGTATATGGGGCTCTGCCCCCTTAAACCCCGTTTCATGGGGAGCTGCCATCCCCTACCCCTGCCTGGTCTGCAAAATCTTCACCTCGTATGTTCCGGCAGGAGAGAGCCCCGACCCAGGGACAGTTTTAACCTCTTACCTGAAGTATCAACTTCAGCTGGGCCAGTCTGCGGGTCACTTGGATCGTTGGGTATTCCAGGTTGGCGAGAATTACGATCGTTTACTGTAAAGTTACACTGCTTTCTTCATTTTGTTTTTTTCATTCATTGCACCATAAACCCCACTAGTGTCTGTCATTTCTGTAATGACACGATGTCTTCCAGTGCGGGCATTGTACTTCACTGGTAGTACACCGTAATCTCGTAGATTTAGTGAGCTTGCTTCGTTATTTTTTCGATATTTCGCGGTGAAATCGAAATAATTCTTCTCACAACCTGCACACTGTCTAGCCATGTTAAAACTGATTTGAACTTCAAAAGGCTTCTCCTAGGCCCAGCTTCTATTGTCACGTGATGATCTATTCCGTATCTGATTGGTTCTATTGAGTGTCTATGTTCACGTCACGTTCACGCACGAATCTAATTGGCTCATTTGATTTCCCTCGCATACGTTATCCGCTACAAATCCGTCGATTTCCAGTCGTTCTTAACGACTATCCATTTTGTCGTGGAATTTATACCCTCTATAACACCGTTATATCAATTTGCGCAGAAATTGGCTATGGTGAAACTGATTGAATTACAACTGCCTTCTAAGGCCTAGCTTCTGTCGTCACGTGATCTACTTCAAATCTGATTGGTTCTATTGAGATGGACGTCAGCGCTTATGGTCACGTGATGTTCACGCACGAATCTAATTGGCTTATTTGAAATTACCTCCCATACGTCATCCGCTACAAATCCGTTCGATTTCAATTAACGACTTTTGTGTCATTTTGTCACGGCAATTAAACGTTGCTGCGGCTCCCAAAGGATTTAAAACCCTCTTTAACACCATAATTACCAATTTGCGATGAAAAAGTAAGAAAGCTTCCATATACTGATTTGTTCTGCTAGTTGTAAGATCAGATTCTTTAATTTCGCTGTTAGGTTTCATTTTTAGTAATACCATAAAAATACACACACACACACACACACACACACACACACACACACACACACACACACACACACAACACACACACACACACACACACACACACACACACACACAACCCATATAATATATATATATATATATATATATATATATATATATATATATATAGTAGCTGTAACACACACACACACACACACACACACACACACACACACACACACACACACACACACGCAACACACACACACACACACACACAACACCCACACACACACATACACACACACAACACACACATACAGACACAGACATATATATATATATATATATATATATATAATATATATTCGTATAATTATATATACTTTATATATATACATATACATTATTATATGTATGTATGAGTGTATTTACACACATTCATACATAGTGTTACGTGATCATGTATTTATGTCTAATTCGCGTGAGTTTTGATGTAGAAGGGTCTCCGTCACGCAGAGTTTAGTCTAGATCTCCCGGGATTTTTGCCTTAGGAAGACACGCCCGCGACGCGACCCCCCCATTTTCCCGCCTGCAGAGTGACTGACTGATTTGTCCCGTGTTCCACCGATTTTTTCTAGTACATTAATAAACCTCTTGGTGAACGTAACAGTTTTATATTAGTTAATATTAAATTGAAAATGAACTGGGCGTACCCATCTCCACGTGTTCACTCGGACCCATAGCCTGCAGGTTAAAATGTCATCCTGTGGTCGCTTGGGCTTAAGAATATATATACATATAACTGATTGGGTTGAAAGAAAGGTATGATAGAGAGGACATTCTGAGTCATAAAGATAGTGTACAAAATTAAACTGGGTTGTGAAAAAAAAGTTTGAAGTTCTACAGTGATTAGTTGAATCGTTGGAAAATTATACGTATATACATATAACCTCAAGGATGTAATCTGAATTGAATTAAGATTCGCCCAAAGTTCTTGTGGTTATCAACCTTCCATACCGTAACCTACCCCATCCATCCCACCTTACCTTATTATTATTATATTATTTACCTTACCCCCGCCTTACACTAAACCTACCGTAATCCAACACCATCCATATGAGAGATCGAATGTTCTTTTTTTTAGTTAAAACCACATTCCTATTTATGATACAGCTAAAGCTACGATATAAGGACACCATAAGCTATATATAGGACAAAACATTTTCAACAAAACACAAATAGTAAAGTATCCCCTCACTTAGCCTCGATGGCTCGTTCTCTCTGACTGTTTGGAACTTTAAAAATCTTGTAAACAATGGATCGTTGTCTGGTGAACTGGCATTGAATTTCTCGATTGCTCATCATTTTTGAGTGTAAGTTGATTAGGATAAAGACAAGACGATTCATATTCATTCAGTGGCAGTGACGAAATTCTGAAAAAAAAGTGAAAGCAGGGGGATCTGTTATGGTGGCCTTGTGATATTTTTTTTATTATTAGTAGTAGTAGTAAGTGCTGTGCGTATATGACATTATTCAAAACAAAATTTTCATTTCAAGATTAACCTTGAGTGCTTGAATATACCAGTGCACTGAGAGCTTAAACATGTATCATCAACAGCTAGAGCACCCAGTTTTGAAAAGGAGGAATAACTGTAGTTTTTTTGTCAGAGATATCCCTGCAGGAACTAAGCAATAACCTTGGCCTCAGCTCCTGTGATTTTCCAGCGAAACACAAGTGACTTTTTAGATTTGCAGACATCCAACCTTGGTATTATTATTAGTTGTTTCAATTAATCGTGGTGTAATATATGAATCTCTTGTTGTTTTCCATTATGAAGGATTATAGTTAAGGTATAAATTACCCAGAGTGATGCACAGAGATAGGGGGGAAATGGAAACCGCCATCTTATAGAGCACAAGATGTATAGTAAATAACAGCATAGGTACAGCTGCAGTTACTTCATATTTACTGCGAAATGATAAATTCGTTGCATATCACTACTCAGAGACTAAATCCACACACCCTCACACAGCCATAGTTCTTAATCTCCATTTTTTCTATAAATTAGAATGAAGTGCTAATATAGGAGAGGCGTACAGGGGATTGCCACCCTATCTAGGAAATGAATAAATGGTTAGGAAATTAGGTTCATTTTTTAGGGCTTTGTCTCAGGTGGTGTAGCTCTCTCAGTAACAATTACCAAAGTTAAAGCCATGGTAATTGTTCATGAAGTCCAGATTGTAGAATTTGGTCTGCGTGGGAACTATTTGGTCAAATGTTGTCCGTGGAAATGTAGTTTTTGTAACTTTCTGTGCATGCTTAGTTCTTTTTTAAAACATCTGCTCATAAAATTCCTTTGACCTTTCCGCGCACTTGTTTCTTCATCTGCCCGCAGATCCGTCTGTGCAGATGTGGACAAAATGATGTTTTCCCGCACATGAAAAATGTAATATTCTCCATGTAAGAAAAATACTCTAGTCTGGTATGGTGATGCACCCCTGTCAATCCAGCCATTCCTGGGAGTCCAAATATTAATATGAAGTAATAACCTTCCTAACCCAGGCCCCCCACTTGATCGCAATATTTCCTTATCGTAGCTTCTGTCCCTGTAACTGAACACCATGGACTTACTCTCTGCACAGTATTTTTGACGACCTATTTTCTTCATTTTTTTATGTTATTCTTACCCTGCATTGATTATTTCATATATGAGTTTTTCATTTTCCTTAAGATAACGTCATTAGATTTTCTTGTGAATGTATGTCAAAGTATAACATGTTGCTCAGTTCTATTTATATCAACTTGTGAAAGAAATACCATAGATGAAAAGTGTCTTCATTTGTCATGATCATATAATTTACCTTGCATCATGTCTGTGAAACTGTAACTGTACCATGACACCAAATTGATAGAAAACCTAGGCTATACTTTCTGGTAAGATATATTATAGCAGACCGCCCTTGATTTGCTTGAGAAAAGGAACCAGCCCTAATTTCATCTTAAGGCCCCCGTCCGCAAGTCATTTTTCAACAGTCATTGGCTGCCACTTTCTTTTGATAAGAGACACAACACTCAATTCTATGGAAACCTTCACATGATGAACCACTTAAAAGTGGCAAACAAAAAAAATTTTCATTGGTCTATTTTTGGTGCCTTGTCATCACGATTCATATCTGATGATTAGGCTTGTGATGAAACCACAAATTCAAATTGGAGCCCATATACAGGACTTCCTCTTAGGCTGTGTTTGCTCCAAGCAAGGGAAGGAGCAATTGTTTCCATTTACACTGCGTGTGGAAAGACAAGGCAGTCAGTGACCCACTGATTTCATCAAGAAAGGATTAATTTTCTCTCGAAGAAGCACTTACATTGTTGTTTATTCGTCTTATATATAATAACGAACATAATATGGATTCTTGAACTAAACATGAAGGTCCCAGATTTTGGAAGCTCATTCATTTATTCCCTAAGCTGCTAAACCACTCAGATTTTTTCTTCTTCCCTCTTCTTCTCTTTGAGATGAAAATTTTAAGAAAGCATTTCTGTACTTCATCATTTTATTCAACATTTAAACAGTTTCAATGTAAGTGATGATGCCAAAGATCCAACGCAGTCACATCATTCAAATTCAGGCCTGACAGCAACAAGAAACATGAGGCCTCCAGCAGAATCTGTGGATGTTTGTGATGTATTGAAGGAATAATTTCTCCAGGTGGAGCTCACGAATGGGAAGATGGAATGATCTAGGAATGTATTTTGATTGTTATAGGCCTACTGTACAAATTGCATTGAATAAAATCCTTTTTTTACTGTGTGTTTTTATTCATTTTAGCAGCAACCTCTTTCTATAGAGAAGCTATGGCATCACAGTCTCTATGGCTGCGGTCACGGGGATTATATATTGCAAGGTACTCTTCACTAATTTTATCAGAACTCCACTTGCATGGGGCTCATGCTAATTTGGGGTGGCGAATCATGACTCATGATGAATTCCTTTGATTCGCCTCACCATGACGCATTTGGTGTAAATGCACCCTTACTCCTTCTCCACTCCATATCCATCTCTCTCTCCCACTTCCTCTTCCTTCCTCCTCTTTCTCTTTTCCCTCCTCTTCCTCCTCCTCCTCCTCCTCTTCTTACTATTGCTACTGCTGCTAAACTTGCTATGTACATAATTGAAAAATTCTGTGGAAAAGACCAAACATACCTTAGAGAAATATTACGTTGTTGCTCATTGGTATATTATATACAAAATTGATATAATTTAATTTGTCTATGTGGGAGCTAGGGACCCTCCATAAATTGGAAGTGTGTTTGCATGCATGAAATCCAACTCCTTTCTTTTGTGGCACCCACTGTTTGATGAAAATTGGCTTATGTGCAGGGGCCATTATTTAATTTATGGCTATGTGATGGAGGTTTTTTTTCATGACTTTTATAGCCAAATCCACATGAATCTTACTGAAACATATAGTGCTTTGTTATAGAAGGTCTACATTCTCAAGTCTGATGTAATTGTGGTGCAGTATCAAGTATTGACTGTACCTTTGCTATTTTGGCAAAGGCTAGAAAATGAATGTGTGTGTCTGTGTCTGTGTGTTTTTTTACTGTAAACATCCATCTAAAAGGTGAACATTGATATGTTTATATTAATACATTACAATCTCTTGATTGACATGAATATATGAAGGCTTATGACATAGAATAGGTGAAAAATTTGAACAAGCAAAAGCTCTGACATGTGCATTTTTTTTTGGCATATGGTCTGAGAACACCTTTGGACATGCATGCCTTTTGTATCTTATATTACTTTTCTTAAATTATATTTTGTTGTCTTTATGTACTTTGCATTTCATATTGCATTACTTTGATTTTCTTTTTTTTCAGAAGCATGGATTACTCAGATATAGACTTGGTCATCCAGAAGCTGATTGAAAAGGAAAGAAATGCAGAACTTCACATAGCTTCTGATGATAGTGAAGAAGTAAGTAGATGTGATTGTTAGTGGAACAAATAGCTTATTCATATATATGTAAGCTCTTGATTATTGTACTTATGCCATCACACACAGATGAGCTAGAGGTAACCAACACCCACAAATGAATATGTTTTGCTATACAGATATAGTTAGTAATAACTCAGAGAAACCACATAACAACACACACACAAACAATTACAATTAGTTTTTCCCCCTCCCCCTCTCCTCTCTCTCTATTCTCTCTTCTCTCTCTCTCTCTCTCTCTCTCTCCTCCTCCTCTCTCCTCCTCCTTCTCCTCTCTCTCTCTCCCCTCTCCCTCTCCTCTCTCCTCTCTCTCTCTTCCTCCCTTCTCCCTCTCTCTCTCTCCCTCCTCTCTCCCTCCTCTCCCCTCTCCCCTCGCCTCCTCCCTCTGTCCTACTAACAATAAAACCTAACAATTGTTTAGGTTATAAGAACTTATGCATTGTTATTGTCTTTGCATAGGTCCATATTCTAGAATGATAAAAAAATATTGTTTGAATATCAGTTAGACTGCAATTAAAATGCTGATAAGAACTGCATTCCTTTCAGAAAGACACTTCATTTCAAGAACCTGCGAAAGGACCCTGATCAAGATTCACAGTACAAATGTCCCACCATGTTCATATGCAGGTCTTGTCGCATTATTCACCTGAAAATACAGAGATGAAAGCACTCACAATCTGCAATACTGAATCATTCGAAGTTGAATCTGCTCAGTAACCCCCTCCTCCCTCCACTCCTCTCTCTTCTCTCTCCTCTCCTCCTCTCTCCTCTCCCTCCTCTCTCTCTCTCTCCTCCTCTCTCTCTCTCTACTCTCCCTCCCCTCCCCCCCCTCCCTCCCCTCCCCCTCCCCCCTCCCTACCCCTCCCTCCTCCCCCCTCCTCCTCTCCTACTCTCTTCCCCTCTCCCCGCTCATCCTTCCCTCTCCCCTCTCCTCTCCTCCCCCTCTCTCCCCCACTCCGCTCTTCTCTCTCTCTCTCCCTCTCCCTCTCTCTCTCTCCCTCTCCTCCTTCCCTCCCCTTCCTCCCCCCCCTCCCCTCCCTGCCTCTCCCTCTCTCCCTCCCCTCCTCTCTCTCCCTCTCTTCTCCACTCCCTCCTTCCTCCCTCCCCTCACCCCTCTCTAATCCTCGCTCCTCCCTCTCCCTCCCTCTCTCTCTCTCTCCTCCTCCTCTCTCGGCTCTCTCCTCTCTCTCCTCTTTCCGCTTCCCTTTCCCCTCCTCCTTCACCCTGGTGCCCCCCCCAACTCCCAACCTCGTCTCTGCTTCTCTCTCGGGTACTCCTCATCTTCTCTCTCCTCTCTCCTCTCTCTCATCTCTCCTCTCTCTCCCTCATCTCTCCTCCTCTCCTCTCTCCTCGTCCCTACTCCTCTCCCCTCTCTCTCTCTCCTCCTCTCCTCTTCCCTTCCCTTCCTCTCTTCCACCCTGCCCCTCCCTCCCACTAACCCAAGCCTCCTCTCCCTCTCTCTCCTCTCTCTCATCTCCTCTCTCTTCCTCAACCTCCCTCCCCTCTTCCATCTCTCCCTCATCACTCTCTCCTCCCCATCCCTCCCTCTCCCTCCCTCCTTCTCTCCCCCTCCATCTCTCCCCCTCTCTCTCTCCCTCTCCCTCTCCCCCTCCCTCTTTATCTCTCCTCCCCCTCTCACCCCTCTCTTTAT